CCCCCCCCGAAAACCCTTCCACTGGAATGCTTTCAAAAGCCGGCCGCTGATCAGATGCCACCTTTGGGTACCTGCAGAATCCCCCAGAGAGCTTTAGGCTGTGTCCGCTCAATCCTTGCAAGCCTTTCTGGGTTGAACGAAAAGGCCCAAGCTAGTCGGTCTTTCATCAGATCTTGCACGAGCAATAGTCATGCGTTAGGGTATGAAATCAGAAGCATTCAGAAGTAAGGAAACAGAGGCTGAAGCTGTAATCAGTTTGACAGGGGCACCAACAGTGTCAGAAGCTAACATTAAACGGGGGAGAGTCCTTACGGATGACTCGGATCTGGAGTCCTCACAGACTGACTGATCCCAAGGGCTAGCAAAGCCTGTACAGAAAAAGAGAACAGGTTAGAGTTCCTGCATCTGCCAACACCTATAGAGGGATTTAAATTGCTCGACAGTTGATTTAAACTAATGCCCCGACCCGGATAGCTTGGGCTAGCCCAGTCTCACCAGATCTCGGAAGCTAAGCAAGGAGACCTCCAAAGAATACCAGGGTTGGGACGCAGAGGCAGGCCACGGCAAACCACCCCTGAACGTCTCTTGCCTGTTCTCACAACCCCGCATTCAGACCCGGCCCCAGACCTCAAAGCCATCTCTCGGAGGCCGCAACCAAGCCAGTGAACGCGGACCGGAGTGTCTCTTTCTAAGGAGCCCGAGAACCCTTTTCTTGTGGCACAGCTAAGCAGTTTCCCAGCCAACTGCAGCTTTAAGCCGTCACCCTCCATCCCTGATCCTGCCACCCAAGAAGGTGTGAACAGTCCGGGCGCGAGCCATTTTTGCTCCTACAGTTAACAGCAGTTCGCGCCGGCGACATGAACTGCTCACCGCAGTTCATAGCAACTGAAAGTTGGATGCTCCCTGGCCCCGTGGAGCAAAAAACATTTTATTGTCGTAGCAGATAATTTCGGAGCGGGGGGGGGGGGGCATTTTGTTTAAAAAGTGCAGCACTCTTGAAAGAACACCGCAACCTGAAAACCTGTGATCTGCGGCACAATTCAGATCATAGGTTTTCAGGTTGCGGTGTTCTTTGAAATGGGATGATTGGGGGTACTGTTCCTAGACAGTTAAATTTAAGAGTTAAAGGGAAAGTATTATAAATGTTTGACTCAGTTTATAATAATCTAAATGAAATGAAGATTTGTTGTAACTAAGCTAGTGAGGATCTCCTCTCTTGGGTTTTTAGTTAGTAGTGGGTTCTTTGCTTTATCCTATATATGTAGTCCCCCTTCCTTTTTTTTCTGTAGTAGTTTTTGTAGTCTTATAAAAATAATTAAAAAATCCCCTCCGGGGGCTCAAAAACAAAACAAAAAACCCCCCTGTGATCTGAGGATGGTGAAAGAAGAAGAGAAGAAGAGATTGGATTTATACCCCACCCTTTACTACCCAAAGGTATCTCAGAGCGGCTTACAAACTCCTTTCCCTTCCCCTCCCCACAACAGACACCCTGTGAGGTGGGTGGGGCTGAGAGAGCTCTTGACAGAAACTGCTCTTTTTCAAGAACAGCTCTTATCAGAACTACAGCTTGCCCAAGGTCATCCAGCCAAGTGCAAGTGGAGGAGTGGGGAATCAAACCCGGCTCTCCCAGATTAGAGACCACGCACTTAACCACGACACCAAAAGCCCAAGAGGGACTGTGAAGCACTCCAAAAGGACCCCCTACAAACATGGAGGATGGGCGGCAAAATGGCAAGAATGTTTGCCTGAGGCAGGCTAACACTAAAATCTATGAAACAGAAGCCTGCATTTGCCAACAGGAACTGGGCCCTATTGAGATGTACTGGCAGGCACCCCGGCACCTTTACAGACAAAATCTCCACTCCACCCCTGTGGTGTTGTACATGGAGGCAAGCTTAGCGCTCCGCAATATTTTACACTGAGGGGAAACTTGATGCACAAGAGTGACCCGGCCTCGGAAGAGGACCACCACTATCATGCAGACCATGCAGTCCTCTGCCGCCACCCCTCCATCTGAAGCCCACTGATTTCAAATGGGTTTAGATGGCCTACCCTGCAGGGTGCCACAGACTGCTGGACACAAGAAGGCAGAACGGGAAAGAAAAGGCACTCACTTGATTGCAAGTATCCGCCAAAGAGTGGATGGCTTCGGAGAACATGGTTGCAGAGCCCGTGTAAACCCAAGCAAGAAGCTTGAAGAAAAAATTCAAGCCGTTTCTGGAAGCGAAGAATGCAAAGGAGTGAGGGAGCAATGCAGAATTCAAAGTAATGGGTGGGGGACAGAAACACACAGGTAATGTTACCTCCACGGTGTGCCATCTGTTAAAACTATAGCTAGGAGACAGACACTGAGTCTTGGGCTCCCAGTAACTTTCCTGTGCAAACCCCCCTCCATGGCTCGCTGTCTTACTTGCTATAGTTCCATACTATAGCAAGTATGCTATAGCAAGTAAGTAAATACCAAGCATAGCTAACATTAACCAGATTCCCTCACTATCTGGGTACGGCAAACCCAAGTTGAAGCCCAGGTTTCAAACTCTGAATAAGAGGGGCAAACCTGATTAATGCCAATGCAGACATGAATGCGACCCCATCGTTAAAGAAATCAGTGGAAAGGAAGGAGGGACTCTACAAGGGCCTGGCATACTTCGGATCGCCCAAGCACTACATCTGCCTTGGGCCACCATGGCACCTGCGTTTGCGACCATGAAACAGTAAGTGAGTTAGGGGTCAAGAACTGCATCTGAATAGGGCAAATATACTAGAACGGTGATGGCGAACCTTTTAGAGACCGAGTGCCCAAGCTGCGACCCAAAACCCACTTATTTATCACAAAGTGCCAACACGGCAATTTAACCTGAATACTGAGGTTTTACTTTAGAAAAAACAACTCCTACATTAACTTAAGATGATCCAAACAAAGCAAGGAAAGTAATCCCAAATGCTTTCATTTACTTAAAATTATTTGGCAGAGAATTCAACACTTTTAATGATGGCCTGGGCTTGGCTGGGGCGATGGCACGCGTGCCCACAGAGAGGGCTCTGAGTGCCGCCTCTGGCACCCGTGCCATAGGTTCGCCACCACTGGCCTAGAAGCATCGTCTCAAACCATAACATTGCAAACAAGGGCACAGAGGGCTACCCTAACCTCAGTGCTTCAATCATTTAGAGAAAATGCCCTGACCTGGATAGCTCAGGCGACCCCAGTCTCATCAGATATTGGGAGCTAAGCAGGGCCGGCCCTGGCCAAGTACTTGGACGGGAGACCTCCAGAGAATACCAGGGCTTGGGATGCAGAGGCAAGCTATCAAGCCACCTCTCTGAAAAACGTCCAAGCCCCCAGTAGGGGTTGCCAGAAGTCACCCTGACTTCCAGGCTCGCAAGCACACACACATGCAAATATCCCCCCCCCCCATAAAAGAAAAAATTTAGAGAAAACAAAGGGAACTCTTGGTATTCCTTCAGTCCTGTTGTCATTTTATAAGGACTCAAGCAAGCACTGCTGATCTTCAGAACTCAAGTCAATTTCAGCAAGTCAAGTCAATTTCAGCAAGTCAAGTCAATTTCAGCAAGTCAATTTCAGAAGTCAAGTCAATTTCAGCCCATCCTAGCACCCAACTTGCTTCTCTTCCAAAGCGCAGAGCTACTCCTGGCTTTCCTCCACTTCACTGGAGAAACACATGGTTCAGAAGAGACTTTTGAGGTCCGCAGGGGCACCACTTTGAATCAGCCACCTCCCACATAGGGAGACATTTGGCCTGCAACCTCAGAACGTCTGCATTGCTTTCAACCAGGCTTCCCAGAATGTAACTGCAAAATCCACCTCTTGCAGAATGAAAATACATAAACTTTAGTCTGTATGTGCACACCACTAAGCATCTAGGTTTATAAACGTACATCTTTAAGGGGGGGGGGGAGAAAAACTTACATGCAAATAGCAACCATCACCACTTTTCCAGGTCCCCTGAGAAATACAGCGGTGGCACTGGAGCGTGGCTGAATAAAAGAAGACCCCAAAATACATTGTTTAAAATGCTACATTCCTGCATAGATTGCCTTTGACACCGTAATGTTAAGCAGGTAACAACTCCAAGAACGATAGTTACATCTAATGATTAAGGCTCTTGTCCAATTTTTTTTAAAATGCAAATTTGCTCTTGAGTGATATAATTCTGAGGGGGATCCCCAAAGACTGAATATATCAGATTCAGCTTCCCCTGGGCTTCCAAGAATGTAAGCAGGCATTGCTGATACAATTTGAAGCTTATTTTTGCATGCGGGGGGGTGAGGGTGTAGGGTCACTGGAAATCTTAGGACACTGAGTTCCACTGAAAACTAGAAACGTGGCTGTCTGTCTCCACTTCCGATCTCAAATTAAGCTCAACCACACTTGTTCTCCTCAGAACCATTGCAGGAAGAGCTTTGCTCACCCGAAAACTCTTCTGTTCTTTAATGAGGTCATTAAAAACAAAAGTGTCAATTTGCTTAAAGCTCATAAGAACATAAGAACATAAGAGATGCCAATGTTGGATCAGGCCAAAGGCCCATCCAGTCCAACACTCTGTATCACACAGTGGCCAGAAATACCAGTGCCATCAGGAGGTCCACCAGTGGGGCCAGGACAGTAGAAGCCCTCCCACTGTTGAAGGAACATCTTTCCCCTGGTGTGAAGCCAGAGGGAGTCTCTGATTTATGAAGGTTGCTTGTTAGCTACAGACAGATTGCGATCTGATGCATGTTCACCTGGGAATAAGCACCAATGAACAAAAGGGGACTTACTTTCAAGGCAGCTATGCAGGGATTAGGATGAGAAGAAAGGGCATGGCTCATCTTTCAAATGACAGGAAATCTGGTTGGTCTAGCCAGAAGAGTTCTCTGATATTTGGAATCTGACAAGTTAGCTGAGTTTGAGCGCTCAGAATGAGAACAGATTACACAAGGCATAAAACGACTGATCCTCAAATAGCTCAGTTTGAGTTGGGTTTTTTTTTTGGCACATTTCAAACCCAATCCTCAGCATGAGCTTTCCTAGGGCTTTTCCGCATCCTCATTTTTCTCGCTTGTGAGTTCCTGTTTCTTCGTGTTGTGGGGGGGGGGGGGGGTGTCCTGTTCTGCTCCTTCTAGTCGTGGCTTTGATATCATACCAGTTTATGCCTAGTTTAAATCCGCAGGAAGAGATGCCAGACATAAACTGAGTTAATATTGAATCGACCACTAGAGGGAGCAAAACACACGCAATGAAGACACGGGAATTTACAAGAGGAAAATGAGAATGCAGAAACGCCCCTATTCTCCCACAAAATCCCACCATGCACACAACCTCGTTTATGCCTAGAAGTGTGCAATAAGGAGCAAGATATACGTGAACTTTTTTTAAAAAAAAAAAAAATCTCTCACCTTTGTTTCTCCTAGGAAATCTTTGTATTCCTTCAATAACTTTTGGTTTTTGAACAAATCTGTAACGGTAAATTTATTAGAGCTATGAAGCAAAAAAGGGAAGAGACGGAATTCAGCAACAAAAGATTGCTTCATTGTCCTGTCAGAGACATCTAGACCTCAGCTACCCAGAATCTTTAAACTAGATGCTACTGTGGGGGCTGTTGGACACACCCTGACAGCCAGTGTGGTGTAGTGGCTGGAGTGCTGGACTAAGACCTGACAGGACCAGGTTCAAATCCCTGCCTGCTGTGTAATGCACTGAATGACCACAGACCCATCACTTTCCATCTAACCTACCTCAGAGGGTTGTTGTGAGGATAAAGTGGAGGAGGGGAAGAAACCATCTGGGCTGCCCTGAGCTCCTTGAGAGAAGGACAGGATAAAAATGTACCAAGGACATGAATTCAGTGCGGGACTATAAACATCGAATATATACATAAGGAATGTGATAAGCTACAGGCATGTGCCTGGAAGCTGACACTAGCCAGAAGTCCTCCACAGGAGTGCACCTATCACTTGCCACCAACTGATAAGATTGTCTGAAGCAGCTCTTCGCACAGGCAATAAACCTGAAGGGGAAAACATGCAGCCCACCACAACCACTGTTAACACCACCCTCTTTGTGTCATACGGAGGCAGTGTTCACAGTGGTTACACTACTGTACCAGGACAGGTGAATCCCAGAGTCAAATCCCTACTCAGCCACAAAATGCACCATCTCTCTCGCTCAGCTTAAATCTACCTCACAGGGTTATTACAAGACCGAAATGAGGTGAGGAAGCACCACAAACACTGTCCTGAGCTCCACCCAGGAAGGGAAGAATAAAAATGCAACAGAGAGGCTGATATATGTGTGGTAACTAGCCAGAAGGATCTTCAACCCCAGTGAGATTATCACAGAACCCATTTTGATGGAAGTACATTGTTGTCCCGTCCCCCCCTCAAGTGACCATTACAGGCATTAAAATGATCAAGTGTCCTCTGAAGCGTTTCTGCACTTACTCTCTCTGTATTCGATCTCTGCTTCTTTGCGCCTTTTCCTCTCTCGAAGAAGAGCCTCCAGGCTTCCCCAAACTTCTAGAGATCTGTATTGGGGGTAGGGGGTGGGGGGGGGGGAGATCAGAAACAAAAGGCTTTCCTAAATGTATGCTTTTCCAATCAATACAGGCTTGTTTCTAAGGATTTTGACTAAAGAAAGGGAACTGCATCCAACCCCTGCTTGAGATTTTAAATCCGGACGGAAACACGACAACACCC